CCTCCGGCACCGCTGGGCTCCAGCGCGCTGGGCCTCCCTCTGCCTTTGAAGGGCTCAGCTGCGTTTAGCACTTGAGCCCATCACTGCTCTTGCTTAACCCCCAGCCGCGGCGTGGGCATCTGCCACGGAGACCAGCCCTCGACGTGCCAGCGTAGGCAGCGTTAAACCAACACGCCGCTGCTTTTGAACCAAAACCCCGTACTTCTGTGCAAGCCCATCCACACGCGACCATAAAACCTGCAGCTGCCCTAACCTGTTTCTGTATCTCCAAAGACAGCGTTTACTTTGCTGTCCTTAAAGCCTCGGCGCCAGCAGCACAAACTGCATCTACTCAGAGCAGATCTCCGAGGCAGCCACACCGCACGGCCGCGTCGGACATGGCATTGCTGCCGCAGCTCTCCTACGGGACCATGGGCTCTTCCAAAGGGCATCAGGCAGATAACCAGCAGTTTTTGCTGCTATGATTTCTGCTGTTAATTCTGCTTTTCCTGCTAGGCGATGGACACAAAGCCTTAGCAAAATCCCTTGTCAACAAGAGAGCCTTTGGTGCAGACCTCTGTGCCAGGGCAGTGGGGACGCAGTGACCCGGAGCCACCGGTGAGCAGCTTGCCCAGGGGAATGCCCGTCACCTGCAGGAGCCTCACCACGACCTGAGAAATGGATTTTTGTTTTCTGCCAGCAGCTTTGCAGCCAGCCGAGGGGTGGCTGACCACCACTCTTGAACAGAAGCTGCATCAAAGCTCAGACCATGGACATTGGGCCAAAGCCCAGGGGACCAAACGGGTGTAAATGCCCCCCTTGCCTGGGAGGGGAGCAGGTGCTCATCCTGGCTTCTCACCCTGAGGTCTCTGTGGCCAAGTCAGGTTGGAAAATGCAGAAACATAGCTCAGCCCAGCTGAGGCTGGGGTTGGTAGGTCTGTATTGGACCCAACACACAGGCACATGCCACCCCGTGGCCCATGGGGACAGGCACAGACCTGTGGCAGGAGCACACAGACACACACGTGTTGGGAAACCTCTGCAAAAAACTGCCAGGAATTGTCCAGAAAGGACCCGGAGAGCAAAATGGATCCCTTCAGGTATTTGGTTCCCCTCTGCAAGGTCCCCAAGGACACCTGTGCAAGGTGGAGGCACCAGCGCAGGCAGTCACCTTGGGGCAGGGTCGTGCCACCTCCATAATGTGCCCTGCGGGGTCCCCAAACCTGTGAGGCAGCCCTGGGCGCTTCTTACCTCCTCTCCTTCGGCTGCTCTGCCCCACGGCTATGGCAGCCACCTCAAGGGGCTGGTAGCTGCAACCCGCACGCCAGGCTGCGGCGAGGAGTCCTGGCACACGCGGCAGCCCCTCCTCCCCCATCCCCATCCTACCAGCATCGCAGGCTCCTCCAGGTTGTCTCTGTCCATTCATTTCTGCCCATGCTCTTCTCTGCTTCTGGTGCCAACAGCATCCCAGCAGCGGCTGGTCCACAGCCCGAACATCTTCCCTGTGCCCACTGTCCAGGCTCAAGAGGATATGACAGCCAAATCCTGGAACAGTACCTGGTTGAGGTTATGTTCTGTGTGGTTTTTAATTCACAGTAAGAAGTAAACTGGAGTAAATTTATCACAGATGGAAAGTGAGCCAAGCCATGCTGGGCTGAATTCTGCATGCGCTTCTCCGTCCCACCCCATCAAGCCTCTCGCCCCGACGGCCAAGCGTGGCTTGGGCTCTGGGGAACACTCGCTGCCTGGTCCCTGTCTTGAAAGGAGCTGGAGGGAGAAGCAGGATTTTCTTGGAGAACTTGAAACACAGTTTGACTACTCACAATTCAGGGCCCCACATGAGGTGGGTACCACTGTGATCTACCACATGATGCTGAAGCGGAGCAATTGCTTGTACAAGGTCCTGCTTCCAAGAGAGTGGGCTGTAGCAATTCAAACTCGTGGGGAACAAGCAAAATTAAACTGAACAACAGTATTTTGGGCTTCTTCTCTTGGTAAATATGGAAACAGAGCTGCAGCTATTTAGCCTGAAAACTATTCAGTCAGTGCCGTTTCCCCCCCCAGACGATACTACGGTCCTTGAGGGTTCGGGCTGGAGGCACACCAGAAAGAGCAGAGGTGAAGAGCCGAGTCTCCCGCAACCTCCACGTCTTTGTGATGCGGCTGTATGGAAACGAGCGGTGACGGCTGCCAGCCCCGCCGCATGCCACAGCCTTCTCGGGGGTGTGTTGTGCTTGGGGTGTTTGCCGCTACAGTGCCGGATCTCAGGAAACGATGAAATTACTGGTCACCCAGCGCCTCTGCCTTTCAGCAAAATGACTCAGGTATGGAGCAGTGCAAAGTAAGAGAGCACTGGTGTTATTCCAGTCAAGGCTGGAGAAAAGCTGCTTCAGCTTCTAGTTAAAATCCCACTTTTTCTCTCTAAGCACATTTATCTGGAAAAGCGTCAAAGACACTTTGTAAAAATGTGCTTACAAATAGCACGGCAGCTCCCGGGAGTGCGTTTCTGTAGTAAGGCTGCACAATTCCTGCCTGTGCCTCCAGCCACGGCAGCAGCTGCTCTGGGTATTCCTTTAACACACCATCCTTGCTGGAGAGCCAAGCGATGAAAGAGGCAGAAAAGGTTTCAGCAAAGCCTCCTTCCTCCCCTTTCCCAGCTCAGGCAGTGATAACTCTGCAAGTCACCCAGCAAAGAGCCAGGTTTTGTAAAAATGGGGGCTACACCACAGTGCGCTGCTCGCTGGGCACCCCGCTCGTGCCCCTTGTCAACGTATCTCACCACTTTGCTGCGTCACGCTGTCCTCCTGGTTCTGCCCATCAGAAGAAAAGCTGAAGTGAAAAAAACAGAAGTGACCAAGTATGCAAAAGCACAGGTGTGGGAGGGAGCAGAGGGGTGGGAATTCAGAACAAAAATTTGCTGCAAGGTCTGGCTGCCTGAGCACCGACGGTGCTGCCCCGCAGAGGCTCTTGGTACAAAGCCCAGTCCGGCTGCTGACTCAGCACACGGCCTCGGCCAAACGGCTTGACCTCCACATGCCACCGCGGCACCCTGGGGCCGGGCCAGAGCCAGCGTCTCCCAGCCTGGAGGCACCGACACAGCGGGGAGCACCAGCAGGCCTGCCCGAGAACTGGATTCAGGTCGAGCGGCAAACAGGGGCTGAAGAGCTTCACCCCTGCTTAGGGCAAAACTAAAAGGGTTACGCTCAGCCCTTCCTAGAAGCCAGGAAATGGCTTTCTTTTGTGCCGATGTTATGGTGGGCAACTGTAACAAAACGGGCAGCGCAAAGGCAGCGCTTGGTCGGGCAGCGGTCCTGCCCGCGCTCTGCATGGCCGTGGTCCTTCGCGCGCCGCAGCGAGCACTGCCAAAAAGCTGGAGTAGAAAGGGAAAGCGGGCAGTTATCTCTGCAGCCTGCTGCTGCAAGAGGAAACTGTCCCTTATATCAATCTGTAACAAGGACTCTTGCTGAAAGGAGTCCTTGCCACACCTCTGTTGCCTTCCTTGTAATCAAAAGCTCCTTTCTTTCATAATAATCTCCACTTTCATCTAGTACAAAAAAGCATTTTACTCTTACAGATTTCATTAAACTGCCTGTTCCAGCTCTAGCAACACTGTGAACTTGACAACTCAAAAAATGTGCTGAAGCAGAAGTTAGGTAGAAGGAATCAATAAAATTTATCAGTAAAAGGCCAGCCCAGGAGAAGCAAAGAGGCTTCAGTAAGACACAAGAAACGCAGCTTGAGGAAAGTACCATCATATCCCCTGTTCCAGGAATCAAACGTGTTATTTCAAACTTACACGCTGCAAAATGTTGCAAAACAAAACCCCTCTATTATTTTTTCAGACTAGTTTCAACTTCCTATGATTTAACAAGGATGTAATCACATCCGCAAAGATCCAGAGTTCCTTATGAGCATCTTAAAAAGTAGGAATGAATCATTTCCTTGTACGACAATCAACTTTGCAATGCCATGGTCTTGGAAGTGACAGTTGAACAGTCAAAGGCAAGCACTCAAAAGAAAATAAAAGCATTTAATGCAAAGCATTTTACCAAAAAGTTTTTACAGCAATTTCATATAAATGGAGTCTTCTCTTAAAACATGAAACCACCAATATAAATGTATTGTTACAAAGTTGATTACAAAACTATCTTCTCCGCCACACAGAGAGGTAGGGAAGGTATTTCTGTCATCTGGAAATACCCAAGATGAACTGAAAAGTAATGTTCAGGATCTAGCCTGCTATGTCTGAGTGACGGTTACACACACATGGTTTTGGATTAAAACTTCACAGGCTGATATATCTTCACCCCGTAAGGCCTTTATTAAGCTTCCTAATAATTTGTGAGGATGCAACGGAAATATCTGAGATGCCTGTCAGCTAGATTATAGGGTTTTCCGTAATGATGGGAAGCCTGATGTCAGGGCAGACTACAGTGTGTGTTACCCTGCAAGAAGCAGGCTTTAGGGATGGTTATTAAAAAAAAAAAAAAAAAAAAAGTGTTGTTTCTGTTCCTGCTCAGTTGCCCCAGGATGTAGTTTCTGGGACCCAAGGACAGGGTTGAACTGGTGCATCCTGGCCCCTCTGGCTGCCCAGTGGCTCAGGGAAGGCCAGACACTGGGAGCAACAAGTGGTGCAGCTACCGCAGGCTCCTCATCTAGATTCGCTGCTCCCCAGGCTGTCAGAGACTTCAACGGGTCCAGAGAGCACGCATCTTGGAGCGAGCCAGGCCCTTCAGACACTGACAGCAAGTCAGTCCAGCCAGGAGGTAGACCCACAAAGAGCAAGAGGCAGAATCGGTCCTTGTTGGGAACTCGCAAAAGGCAGCTGGAAGGGAAGGGCAGGGCAGGCTGCAGCCCTCTCCTTCCCTCCGCAAAGCACTGCAGCAGCACAGGCGCTTCCCTACCACGTTAACTCACTCCTTCATTTGGCAGACTTGGCTTGTCTGGAAACGATTACCTGTGAAAGGAGCTCTTTCACCAACGTAGCTGTTCACTGAAGTAGCGTCCTGCAAGGCTGGGCTCTGCCTGGTCTGCTGCCAGCCAAGCAGAGCTAATCCCCAGCGAAGCTGGGCTGCCTGCTCCCCTCTTAGCAAAACAACAACAAAAAGGCCTTCGAGGAAGATGCAGTGGGGGGGAATGCAGCTCTCTAGAAAACAAAGCCACATTAATGCGCTTTAACAAAGCGACAGTTTTCTTCCCCAGTGGAATGGCAGGCTGGTGCCTTCCCTCCCCAGGACAGACTGTCGTTCGGGCTCTTCGAGGACACGTGGGAGGCCGCCTTTTTTTCCGTGCTGTGCTGCTCCAGTGCTAGGCTCCCCACGCTGCTACCAGGAGCTGAAGTCCCCGAAGCCTGTGCTCTTTCTCTCTTTCTTCACAGCTGTGCTGGTTGAGGGCCCATCATCTTCCACGCTGCGCTTCCTGGAGCCAAAATGAAAACAGTTCTCAGGGACTATTCACCATTCGGTGGGACCAGGGCAGCCGGATGCTTTTCGTCTCTCAGCAACAGCTATACCGGAGCCAGCCCATCCCGCATCAGAGGGAGTGCAAGCGCCGTGCCAGCATGGGGACCGCAGAAGGGGTGGGGGCCTCTGGCATACCCAAAAAGAGGGAGAGTGTGTCAGTCTGTGGGGATGGTTTGGGTCAGGCTTTGAAGGCTTCCAGGAACCTGTTCAAAACCCAACAAGTTCTCCAGGCCAGAATGAAGATTTAACAGCTGTACTTTTTTAGCACAGTCATGATGAGAACGTGAGCCGCAAGTTCTCTCCTCACCTTCTCACCTGCATTTGTGGCAGCAAAAGGATTTATGGAGAATTAGGTGTAAAGCAGCTGGGCAAGTTTTTCAGATCCTTTCCTGTTCTTGAGCACAGCCTGCTGCAGTTGCTGCTGCTATTCTCAGCCTCTCTTGAGCAGAGTTTGCAGCCCCATGGAAACACTACTCAGCCAGCTCACGTACTGTGGTTTTACTGTCAGATATCAACAGCCAATAGGGAGAACCCTGAACCTGCCAAAGGGCTGCTACGGACCAAACGCCCAGTGGCAAGGCAGGCTGCAAGGAGTGAAGGACTAGGAAAGGAAAGTCCTTTCTATACTACTTGGCCCTTTCCACAAAGCTGCAAACTCCACATGGGTTTCCTCGGTAAATACAGTGCAGAATGGTAGCAGTTTTAAGCTGACTATAATACTTTAGGGGACCAGCAATATTTTGTAACTGAAATGTTTAACTGACACATCAAACTGACCTACATGAGAACATATTTTTGTTCTCGTGGTTATGCAAATGCCTGTAAGTCACACGGGCACATACGAGCTGATTAGGTAGTTGTCCAGATCTGCGTATGCATAAATACATGCCTTTACACAGCAGACAGACAACAGCACTTTTGCAAATGCTTTTAGAGAAGTCTGCTAAAAATCAAGTGCAAGGCATTTATTTTAATTCATCCAAAACTCATGCTAAGCTGCTGCTCAGGCAGGATTCTGTACTGTCCTTAGGAAAGCAAGCGATGCTGCCAATCCCAACGGGTGTACAAAGGGTGTCTGGGAAACGATGCTTTAGGACAAGCCTGTACAACCAGCCAGGCACCCTGGAGCTACTCGCCAAACGTCCTGTGCTCCCACGGCAAGCCTGGGAACCTGCTCCCCTTTCCTGCCATTTCAGTTGTGCTGGTACAACTGTTTGTGAGGCTGAACAGGGAACCAGATCAGCAGACTGATACGGGCTTAAGGCAACTACTTTGTGCAGGGGAGAAGCTGCTAAAAGAGCACATCTGTGGGACCATGGCCTTCAGAAATAGCTGCAGAAGAGGAAAAGAATAAAAGATCGTATAGGAAGTGACACAGTACGGTTCCTCAAGGACTTCCGAGTTGCGGAAATGTATTTACAGTTCTAAAGTCAGTACAGACCCAACTTGGTCACATTCAAGTGCTAAAAGCTAAACTCAGTTAACTTGTAATCTTGAAAAACAACAGAAGTAGAGGGAACTCTTGACTGTTAGGACTGCATGAAGGTGTCTTTCCAAAGTCTGCTGGCACAAACCAAACATCTGAGCAATGGCACTGAACAGGGTCAGCATCCAGCAGGGAAAGCAACTGAAACACTCAGCAAAGATCAGATGGACAGGGAACTCACGCTGCAGCCATGTTAATGTATTTTCCAATTCCCTGCCGGTAAGTTTTAGGAGTCTGGACCTCTTTCTTTGGTGGGACCACCTCAGCTTTTGTTTTGGCTGCTTCTTCTTCTAGCTGGACCTTCTCTCTTTCTGCAGCAACCTGTGGGAAGCAAAGAATGCAATCTCTTGCAAGAGCTAGTCCAGAGTAAGGAGAAAATGTCTACAATTCTTTGAAGCTTTAAAGCACTCTAAACCAGCAATCAGCACCGTTTATGATTACAGAGCAGGCTGTAGGAGACAGACCTCAAGGGCCACTACAAACAGGCTGTCTGTAGCCATTGTAACAAAACTCCTCTCTTCTCACCTGCAGCTACGCATAGCTACTGTGGGCATTTAGAAAGGAGGCGTGATGGACCGGGAGCTGTGCCAGACTCAGTTACAAGACCTCGCTGCTGAAAGAGCGGTGATGATCGTGGCACAGAAGGCAATGCCGAATGGCAGCTGTTTAATCTTAGCTTGCAACCATGTGGGCCAGGGGGCTGCCCATATTCAATGAAAAGGCATTAAATTACAAAGTTCTCCAAAGATCTTTGGCCTTTAGAAAAACCCAGCCAACCAACTATCCTCACCTGGGCATCTGCCTCTTCATACGGATCAACAAAAACAGTTGTTGCCTGAATTCGTATCTCCTCCTGGAAGCAGGAGAGAAGAAGAGCAAATCAATCTGTTGATTAAGCTGCGCCATCCCCGCCCAAGTCTGGCTTTCAGAGAAGCATCAGCAGGGTGAAGCGCAGTGCCACGTGAGGCCATATGCATTCGCTCCCTCCTGTACAGCCCCTGGTGCTTCACACGTACCTTGGGACGGTCTGTTTTTGGGTCACTTTCCACATTCTCCATAGCAGTCAGAGTCTCAAAGCCACCAACCACCCTAAAAGGGGAAGGACACAATTTTCAGCTGTCACAACACACTCAAAATATTCCTGCACCCTTACATCTAATGTATCTAATATATCTTATTTATGCCCATTACTCTAGCAGATTTTTAAACCATCATGCTTGGGGAAAAGGGAATCAGCAACTGTATTTGGAAGACCTCAGATAATGTCATTCAGTGTGGAAGTTAAGAACTGTTTCTCAAGTCTGGATTTGAATTTAAAATTAAACAGAACATGGAAAAGTCAAACGCTCAGAGGCAAAGCAAAGCCATTTGTCCAAAAACCCAGCAGCCACACAAACCAGCAAGATGGAGAACAAACAACTGTGCACAGCTATCTAGATGTGCACGAAGACACAAACCCATTTCAAAATGGGTTCATTTGCTAATGCTACATCCATAAATTTGGAGCTCATTTGTTCCTCCCATGAGCTTTGAAAAATAACCCAATAGACTTGGTCAAGAAAGCAAATATTTTCATTAACTTCTGATTTTTTACTTCTTTTTTGCTAAATTGTATATCAGACTGAAGAATGGTATTAGGAAGAAAGGGAATCATAACTACAACACTACTGGAGAGCAGTGACAGACTTCTCCATACCACCACCAACAGCGCAGAAACTGCAGAACTGCTCCAAAAGCACATCACAACTGTGAGCTCGGGAGGCTCTGGGAAAGCAGCAGAGCATTGAGTCACAGCCACAAGATAACACCAGGACACTTTTCGTCGCAGTTTTTAGTTATGAGGACGTTAGATCCCCGTCCTTTAATTTTTCAAGCCAACATATCCAAATACTTGCTTCAAAATGTTTAAGAAAGGCTGAGGACTTTCTGGACTGTCGTATGTTCATTTTAAAAAAAAGTGTGGAACAATAGGAAAGTTCCAGAAAAGGATATTTAGAAAGGATAAATGGGGTGACCATTATAAGCCTCTCATCCTGGCATCTATCCCAGCAAAATAATGGAATAGCCGAGACAGGACATGATTAAGAAAGAAAGGAAATAAGTAACAGCAATCAACAAGGTTTTGTGGAAAACAGAGTCTGTCAAACAACCTTCTATCTTTGAGACGACCGATGTGGTTAACAGGGATAACGGTGTCCGTGGAACAGACTTCTGGAAGGCGGCTGATATTTTGATGGAGAAACCAGAACGATACCAGTGAACACAGCACACATTAAATAAAAAATTGGCTGACAGGTGTCAAAATCTAATTTTAAATAGGAAACACTGAGTCAGTACATTTCCAGAGGGGTCCTGCGGGGATCAGATCTTGGTCCCAGCATATTTAACACTTTTATCCACATCATCATCCCCAATTAAATTTGAAAACAGCTATACTTAGAAGAGCAGTAAATAAAGACGAAGACAGGCTGCTGATGCTGGGTGATCCGGATCCCTTAAAAAAAGCAGGCTGTAGCTGGACAACATCTGTTTTAATAGAGCCAAGCCACATGGCCAGGAACCAAAAATACAGCCCATACTAATGGCTGTGGGACAATGAGAAGCAGCCGTAATTCTCAAAAACACTGTTCCCGGAGCCAGAGGAGTTTGGGGCTGGGAGCTTGGCAGCAGGGCCATCAAGGAGCCCAGGGCTGCCCCGGGGACAGGGGTGCAAGCCCAAGGGCCAGCAATCCTCCAGCCTTTGCGGCGTGGCAACTGTTGTGAAGCGCGATTGCTGGGATTACTGGGACTCTGGTACCAGCACAGGTAGGCTGCCAAGGGCTGGGCACATGAAATGTCAGAAAAATTGAATTATATGAAAAAAAAAAAGGAAGCAAACTGGTGGAAGACATAAGAGTATATCACCTAAGTCTGCTTTCATCTCAAAGAAACGAGCGTTACCTTGGTCAAAACACACCGCACATTCACAGGTATCACACATCTATACACTTCTACTACGACATCTCGTTCTCGCAGGTGTTTCGCGGCCCGGCAGCCCTCTCCAGTCCTGCCACGCCAGTCTGCCCAGCCAGCAGCAGGAGAGGCCCGTGACCACCACCTGCAGTGGCCTCAGCTGATCCAACGGAGAAACACACCTTCTACCAGCGCTCCACACCGCGCTACCGACACGCCTCCCGGGAGCCACGCTACCCACATGCAACAGGCCGAGCACCGCGGTGGGAGAGGCAAGCGGGTCCTCCTCATTCTACACGCCTCGTGCTTGGTGCGCAGCACCACTGCCCCGCACTGCTGCCCCACGGGCCGGGACAGGCCCTGAAGACAACCGAAAAGACAGACCCCATCGCAGAAAATGGAAGGATGTAGGTCAGAGAGGGTGCTGCTCCGCACCCGCCCCAAGCGCAGCCGTCCTTGCCGACGTTTCGCTGCTGCGGCGCTGCGCCAGACGTCTCCCCTTTACTCCCCAAAGGCCTGTGGATATTCTGTAATCAGGTTGTGACTTTTAAGAGCAATTACAAAACACGTATGTGGGCTAGAACAGCCTCATTAATTTGCAACTGGAGGTAGCGCACTGGGGGAAACTGCTCAGGGCTTGAGGACACCGCATGAACTTTGGAAAGTTCATAACAAAAACTCAATTTTAAAATCCTCCTCCAGGCCAATATCAGATTCGCTTATAATACTGATGATTAACACACAGCCTAAGATATATTCACTGTATTTTAATTGCCCCTAAAGGAAACTTCGGATTTAATATTGGAGGATTTTCTAGCCGACAGCTCCACTCATTTTCTGCTCGTATGTTTTCATTTAATTAGGTTCTGATCATTTGAAATAGCCAGATCGGCTATGCATTGGCAATCGCAACCGAGTAATCCCTTAGCCCATAGCTAGACCTCCCACAGTACTAGCCCTAATGCATTTTGGCGATGCTCACAAATCTTCAGTCACTATGCTAATTAACTTTATTTGGAATACTTTGTCGCTTGTGCATTTTAAAAGGCTGTGATAGACATGGCATTCACAGGTCATCAGTAAATGACCTAAATAGTCTGTTTTGACATGATTATAAAGGGCTAAGGGGGAAGAAGACAAAGCTGTTATGCCTGCAGAGCATGTAATTCTCTTTTCTTCTTAGCTTCTTGTCTCTAAAATGGAAAATTGCTTTCGTTTACACCCCTGCATTCTCTAACGTTTTGCACAGAGAATATCTCTATGCATATTACAGTGTCAGCACAGTGAGCTCTCAGTATAGGTTTATGTTTTTAGACACTGCCATAATACCAATAAAAAATAAAAAATAATTTGAATACAAGCCACTAGCTCAGAGAAGAGAGCTCTGACCAGAGGAACTGGAAATAATTTAATAGTCACTTTTGTTCAGGGAGCACTTGGAAGCTGTGTCACAGATCAGGCCCAGCTGAGGCTTGCGTTTCACCAGTAAAAATCCAAAAAGGACAAGATCTGATTGCAAACATCACCCATCTAGTAAAAACTGAACTGCATGCTAATCAGGGAGTCATGGCTGGATGCAAGAAAAATGCAGTATTTCAACTTAAGGTCTCAAACCGTAAAGGATTTTGCAAGCTTTCCTCTGATTTTTCTAAGTAGAGAGATGATGTACACGCAGGCTCTCAAAACACCACATGTTGTTATTGTCAAATCTGGTGATGTTACATTACTGCACTAAAATCAGTCTGACGAGATATAATGTGTCTAAGCCCATGCACTGGCAGCCATTATGGCAATTGCTCCACACAGAATGAGGAAATCAAACACACCAGAGTAGTTTTGAGCATTCTTTTATCCTTATATTCTTACATTCTTAATATTATTCTAATATCCACTGAACTTTGAACAAAGAGATAAAACCTGTTCTATGAATAAATGTGAGTCTCAGCACAAGGAACTCTACATCATTTTCATTAAAACAAAATGCAAACTCAAGAAGTTCAGACTAATATCCCTCTATACCCTTTTTATGTGCTACGTGCGTTACACAGACGGTGGCAGATCACACCGCTCAGCCTTTCTCATCCGACGTCACTTGTACGAAGTTGGGAGCACAGCAGGGAAAGGAAGGGAGAAGGGCAGAAACAAGTTTAACCTTTTCCACTGTTTCTGGCTCTATTCCTTTTATAAGGCGCCACACATGCTTTGTCCTAAATTGACCAAATGAGGTTTAAACAGATGTTCAGATGACATCCTACAGTGAAAAGGATGATACCTTCAAGACACCACTTACAGTAGAACAACTAGCAAAACCGAGGGTTTGCTGTGTACTTCCAGTCGATGTTGAAGAGAGAAATGATGATCTCAACTATATATTTAGCTCAGCATCCCTGAGACAGCTTGTTGTATTTTTAGAGGAGCCTGATAAATGTTGCATTACACTTAAGCATGAACGACAAGGTAGGTACATTTAGGTTTTTTTTCTGTTAGCATAGTAACGCAAACAAAAAATGTGCCCTTACTCGTGCAATTCTGTTTTCTTGAAAACTGAGCTAAGTTAGCAGTGGAAATTTTAATTTCAAATTTAGAGATATTATTTAAAAACTTACTTCCTGTTAAGGCTCTTTTATGCAAACTAGCAACCTTGCTTCGTAACCACTGCCCATGTCTTTGCATGAAGTAGAAGTGAAATATCTGGAGCAAGCTCTATCCGTTTGCAATATGCCAACAAAAGTCTCGCTGTACGTTAGTTAGGGCTGCTCCCAAAGAAAACTGCAGCTCCCTAGTGTTTCACAGACGTTCACACATGGGCTTCCTATTTATCATATTTTTGTTTAGAAGAATTATAGGAATTAAGGCTTATGCAATGCCGGGGATGGCAGCAGTCCAAGACGATAGAGTTTCCTGGTCAGAAGATGATACAAGAACAATCTCTGGACTTTTTTTTTTTTTTAAAAAAAAAAAAAGCTTTAAACTAGAAACAGAAACCAGAAAGAAATATTGTTGTTTTGTAAACACATTCTGCCCTCAAGCTTATTTTTATAAAAAGGACTACATACATTTATATACACACACAGAGAGAACAATATATACACGTACAAACACGTACACTCAGGACAAAGTGTTTTCTGTGTATACACCCAACCTGAAATGGCGCGAGCAATTCGAACTGGCAACAAGGATGCGGTCGAAACACCTCCATCTCTCATAAAGGCTTAATCTAGCAGGTGAGACACAGTAATGAGGGGCACTGAAAAAAATAAAACAACTTGGAAAAAGCATTTTGAAACTAGACTCGGACAAACCTGGCTCATAAGGACTTCTCTGCTTTGGCACAGGTTCCTCTTCAGAGATCATACAACTGTTTTGGAAACGATAGCAGCCCTCATGCAGCTCTGACGGCCCAGGCCTCGTGTGCTACATGAAATCACGGCCATGGCTTCCACACGGAGGCCTGGTTCATTTTCCCACCTTGCTCTTCACGCCTCTCCTGGTGCCTGGGGAGCGGACTCTGCAGTGCAAAATTAGGTCAGGCTCCCTACACAGATTCAGCAGAATCCTCTCTTCTGCTGTCACACAGCTTCTCCATTCTGCAGACGTATTTAAGTGGAAGCGCAACAGGAGTTTCCCAGCTTAGAAGCCATTGGAGTTCACAGGTTGAAATCACAGAGGGAATGTTAGAAGTAGAATGTTAATGCGTGTTACTGAAAAGTACCCGGGTAACTGAGTAACAGGAGGTGGTTTGTGTAGCTAATTACTTTAGAGAACAAGAGTTACTTTCGTTGCCCCATTCTACAGAATTGCAGTAGAAAACATTAAACGGGTTAAAGAATACTCAATACAGAGTGATACATCCAAGGAAAGAAACACTCTTCCACAGAAGCATCTGGCAAGGGGAGGAGGGAAGAGAAGACTAAGCTGAGTGCGTGTCAGCTACTGACTGGTGCCTCCAATTTGGCCAAGTCTGAGGTTTCCCAAACCACCTTGTTCATTGTTTCCAGGAACAAGACAACTGAAGAATGAGCAGCAGAAGCCTTGAGGGAACGTTACAAGTTATCAGTGTAAGCAGATACGTGCAGCCACATACAAAGGGGACAACTGTCCTCCGTATACTCATCCCCATCTCAGTTGCCACATTCTTTTCTCAGTTCTTGACAAACACAAGCGATGCTCCAATGAACACACAGAACCGCTGCACAGATCATTTCCAGCTTTGCCACTCTACCACAACACTTTTCTCTCCGCTCTCTCTATTGCCTTTCTGTTTATCACACTGCATACCTGCAACCTGCCCTCACTTTCAAGCCCATCATGCCCCGCTTGTCCTAAATCTCACCCAAAATTCAGAGAGCATTTCTTTCCTCCTGCTAATCAGCATGGCTTGATCGCCTTCCACTATTATTTTAAATATGGACTTTTTACTGTGTCCCTTCAGCTTTGGAACAGGCTCCCCCAAAACATCCACAAAGCCATTTTATTTTTCCTGGGGTTTTCTTGGTTCTGAAGAAAGTCCAAACTGTCGATGGAAGGTAGACTGAAACGGGTCACTATTGTGACTTCCCTGTTACATGCAGTCTCTCTTCTACCTACACAGCTCTCTGGGACAGAGAGAATGTTTCTATTTCTGCTTATAAAGGGCACAGGTAGCAGGTCTCTGATCCACAGGAGCTGTGAGCCATTCGAGTAATAGAAAATATAACAACAATGGATGGGGTGTGCTTGCATCTACATTTCATAAAGCATGCCAGCCAGGAACGGGAGCCCACACTGGCGTTCTGGCTGTAACATCTCTGTAGCTGATGCAGCTCACGCAACAGCTGAACTGCCAAGTTGTAGCATGGATCAGAGGGAGTCCCCTCGCACACAGCCCACGGCAGCAACAGACGGGACCTTCCCCATGTCACCTGCAAGTGCTTCTCATCCACTCTACGCAGAGCAAATGTATGTCGCTTGGTTTACATTAAGTTTCTAAATTAAATGTTTTACCAGCCAGCTAGAAGCCAACAAAAGCCACCAGTTAGTTTTCACATTAATTACAACATTCTCTAAGTCAGGAGAAATGGTAATTACTAGAAATTGTAATTACTAATTTAATCAAGGCAGCTCTGCTGGAGCAGGAAATCCGTGCAGCCTGCAACACACCTCCAGGGGAAGACGCTCTTATCTCACTCTCTGACTTTGTTTTGGTTCCCCAACCACGCCAAATTACCTCCTTTATTTCAGTAACATCCATCCTCATTATTGCTATGGTGGGCAGCACAGTCATGACAAGATGCCCTCCCTGTCCTCCAGCCACAGCCTTCTCCCGAGACTTGAAAACTCCAGTGCACCAAGCCAGACACGTGCCACCTCTTCACAGTCCCGCTGCCTGCAACTGGTGTGGTTTTCAAACATACTTAACAGCCAAATATCCAACATTAATAGCTGCTACTATGCAAAAATTGTGTTTCAAACCAGTGGGGACATGAATAAGATGCAGCCCCAGAGAAGGAACTTTTCAATGTTCCATCTCACTCAGGACCACGAAACAAAGAAAGGGATGGGGAATGGTTGCTCCTTCACTCTTTTTTTGTTCTCCAAAATGGAAAGCCTGCTGAAAAGTTCTATACCAATTGCAAGCGGGTCAAATTCTGCTCTTGAAGACACATATATGACACTCACTAACATGAACCAGAGCTGCAAAGAAATAGCTGAGGATACAGTTGAGATCAGAGTATTTTGGTTTTTATATTAACTGAAATAAGTAATCCTCAAATCTGTATGAGAGTCACAACAGGCCAGTAAACATCCAGTTGAGACAATCCAACTTAACATTCATGGAAACAAAGAATTCAGGGTTCATTCTATTCTTAAGCCTAGATATTATTCCTAGATGTGCTTTCCAGATATGATTTTACTACAGTACTAAGATCAGATACAGTCACCAAATCCTGGAAACACCCAGGATCTAAAATAATCTAAAATAGCAAACGAAAGCTGGAGTTTCACTAGAAGTACAATCTCTTGGATCTTTTACCTTTTATAGCTTTTAAAAACAAGTGCTGAAGGAATTTGATGACAGAATACAGATCTTAAGAGCTGCAAACATCAGCCTTTTGTACTAAATTTGTAGGTAAACTCAATGATTCATCGTTTTTTACATTCTTTGAATTAATCTTCATTTACATGAAGGAAAGTCCAGAGTAAAATACACCTTCTTTGTGTTCAGATGAAGATGTCGCTCAGTGTTCATGCACAGCAGCACATATGATTCCAAAACAACATTTTTAATAAAGTTGTTCCTTCGTATTTTGGCTAAGAATATTTGCAGTGCTCACAAAGCAGCACCAATTCTTTACTCTGCCAACCAAGTTCTGATTTCTGCAGTATCAAGGACAATTAAAAAACTAAGACAATCTTTGCTAAAACTGCATAAATCTCTGCTACATACACTTAACCAGATTTACTTGGACTTTGACTGAAGTAATTCCCCTCTAAAGGGCAACGTACAGTGTGAAACATCAGTTGTGCTATTTTACTCAGAAGGTACTCTAGATGTTACGCATGGTGTGAAGGCTATTGGGAGCACATTCCCTGCACTGCAGTAAACTCAACTACTCTCTAAATTCTTTCCTGGTGAATTATGGTAAAACTGGAGCACACTGGGGAAAGACAGCAAAGACACTGGAGGACTATACAGGATGCTCGCTGAAGCCAGGCTGCATCCAGAACTGAGCAACAGCCACATTTTCAGCTGAGCTGTCCTAACCCAAGATATTATTTGATGAGGTGGCAAGCTCAGGTTAACAGCATTACCGTATGGGTTTTAATGGGATTTTTGCAAGGAGGACTCAAATTGTGGCTTAAGTGAAATAGTCTTAAGATATGGGTAATGTAACTCCTCCAAGAACATACTTGCTCTCAGCTTTCAGTATTAGAATTTGCTTTATTTATCTGCTTCCACCAAAGGACAAGAGAACTTTAAGTTTTTCTAGGACAGACTTGAGAAAGCAAAAAGAAATAAAAGAAATATATTTCAAAGGGTGCAATTAATGCAGAATCAGTATCGGAACTAATGGTACTAAAATAATTGTTTTAAATGAAGCCAGTTTCTGCCTCAAGAACTCACAGGCAGAGAAGATGGATTAAATATATCACTTCCACTGTACAGCACAATTGTATGACATCCGATGAAAGTAAACACCACATGCATTTACTTTCAATTGCTGCTTTTCAAATGGATAAAACTATGAAAAGAATAAAGACCAAATCTTCATTTAAAAAAGATTGTAAAATCCTTGGGAACTACCAATGAAGCAGGCTAGTAAAATCCCTTTCCTGCCACTTGCACCAAGGCATTTGTTACAACAGCTATGCATGACTTGGTAAATACCATGTACCTGCAGCAGAGGAAGCAAAGAACAAACTGTAACATAAAGATTTCATAATGTCTTTGGTAATAAATATCTTGATCTTTATCACTTAAGGGCTTGACTGGAAAAGACTTTCAGAACAGACTTTAAAAAGAATGAAGTTCCCTTGCTATCTTGCCATTGGTAGTATCTTTTTATATATATATAGACACACACACACACACACATACAGATTTTATACCAATGATAACTGTCAGGAATAAAAGAAAAGAAGAATAAAATAAAAAAGAATAAAAGGGGCCAAAAGACCTAACCTATGCAGAAGCTCTATGTGCTATGCCATGATGAAGAGTAGCCCTGCATGACTAATTTCCCAGTGGACAGCTCGTAAGAGGATGAAAGCAGTGTTGAAGAGGTAATCTCGTGTGTCCCAGCAATTAGCATGCACAAATATTAACATGGTTGGTTACAGGATGATGATTACTTTGTTCATGACTCCCTGGAGGACCATCCACAGAAGGGAAACAAGGCAACTTACAGTGATGGAAGCAGAAAAAAACCGCAGAGTCTCATGACTGGCACTGATGTGATATTGGCCACTTACTCATGACCAGAAGAACTGGATTGTGAGCTAGGATTTTGCTCCAGTTCAATTGCAAGCGTCACTAGATTCTTCAGGCTTCAGACACACAGGAGAGTGTGTCTGCTAGACTGCTGTTCATAATATCCTTCACTTACCTTCCAAAAACTGTATGCTTCTTGTCCAGATACGCACAAGAGCGGAATGTGATGAAGCTGGAAGGAATAAAGACGTTAACAGTTAGCATATTATCTCACTGACACTCAACAACAGCCAGAAATGCTTAAAAACAGCTCTCTCAGAGAGGGCAAGCCCCTCTCCCTCTATGGCTCCTCTCTGGGAGGCCTGCTGGCCAAATATCCTTTAATTCCTCTGTTTTGTGTGTTTCATCTTGGATTTCTGGAATTTTGAGTTCTCATTTTTATACCTTACTAACATCCCTAGACAGTACTCTGAGCACGTTGACTTGTACAAAGTCAAAAATCAATGTGAGCATCTGCCTCCTTGGCCAGACAGGTCCTGGGGAAGCTCATTGCAGGACAGGGAGACATGAATCCTGCTTGAGAAGTACATTTCTTGTGCGTGACTGGGAGCTTGTACCCAGCAAATACAGTTATATAACACAACAGCCCTCTGCCAACTTCTATCTTTTAGGATATTTACTTTTTTGCTTTTCTATTCCGTTAAATTGGCCTGTCGGTGATGCATTTCTCCTCTGGACAGAGCAAATTTGTGCTTTTGGATACAAACATGGCAGAAGCGTCAATAGTAATGAAAACTTGTGAAACTTTGATTTTTAATTAATTGGACTTTTAATTTTGAGGGTTGTATTTTTAAATGTAAACTTGGGAGCTAAAATGCCAAATCCAAAGCAACCTTTACTACTAAAACTTTTCTCTAAAACTTAAATGCTTCTTTGGAAGACTTGAACTACAAGCATATGAGACAGAGGTTTCCACTGTGGTCTGCAGACCACGATGGCCCATCTTGGCTGGACATGCAGTGCTGGCTCTCCTCCCTGTCTCCATCTGTTACACTACATTAGAGACAGCTAAAAATATATAAGCATTCCAAAAGCACTTTTCCATATAAGCAACTGCCTCAGGAAGTTATACTATTGCAAATAGGAGGGGCTGCAATCTGCCAGACAATCTATTAAGACGCAGTTTGCCCTAGGAAAGCTTTGAGATGCTGTGCAGAATGCAAACTCCTACGCAGGGCAAACATTAATACTTCGCCTTGTGCATGGGTTCTTTGCACCAGTTTATTTCCAGATATCCAATACTTAAGATTATCAAGTAGTCAGTTATGGAGCATTGTAATAAAATATCTGAGCAGTTGCAAATATACAGAGAAAGTTTCTCATCCATCACCGCAGTCAAAATAAAATTAAGGACACTGGAATTAACATAACTCAGGATGATCCTGGAGAAATTTTGAGCGTTATTCAAGCATCACCTTACACAGGGGACCCAGCTCACTCTGCACTGCAGTGTCTATCACCTATGGGGAGAGTGCTATTCACCCAGTTCCTAAGGTCACAACAATTGTCAGAAGTGTCTAAACACTTCCTCGGAAGCTTTATAAATATGGGCAACTGGAGTCCCTCAAGGACTTAAAACATAAAGGAATTTCATATTGCATTTGCAAATTTTAGGGAAACATTTACAGCAGCAGATGATGTGACACAATATGGTACATCACTCATAAACTGTCTCTAACTTCTGTTTCTAGAATTCTTTTAAAAGAAAAGGCTCTACTTTCCCCTAATTTAACACCTGAGTGCTGGCAATAACATTCAAATCCAAAATAAACTCTACAGCAGCTCCATCCTGCAAATTGCCCAACGTGTGCTTAGCCTTAAGTATGTAAGTAAGCCTATTAAAGGCCCTGAGACAAGCACTTGCGTTTAATTAAAGCTAACCACACTACTGCGTAGTTTACAGGCCATAATAATACTCAGCATCATGAAGACCAACACCATGAACCCTCTCCCCCTCAGTCACAACACACATACACACACACATATTTACTCTTTGCCGGGGCCCCCAATAAAAGTACAACTTCTTTCCATTGTAGCACTTCAAGAGCAACTAATAAATAGTTGTCTCAAAGTGACACAGAAGATTTTCAGAAGGCTGCAGGCAAACACCCATATCAGTGGTACACGTAAAGAATATTATTACAACTTCAATTTAAGTTTCATTTGTTATTCTTCCTGCTTCTTCATTCATTTTTTCCTCATTTTAGTCCTCATTCTGCTCATCGAAAAACAAGACATTCTCAGTCCCAGATTCTGCACTCTGCTATGTCTGTGTTCTACACATTTCAAGAGTGCAGAACTGTTCTCACTTATCTAAAATCAAGCAAGTAAAAAGAAGCAATATTTCCATAGAGTGTATGTTTCATTTCATTAAGCCCTTTCAAAAAGTTCAATACGGAAAATGCAAATTTCAATCTGCGTATTGAAATATACATTCAATATATATTTTGAATACAAAAGAAAAATTTAAACAAAGTGCAGAGGTGTAATGATCTTACAGGGATAACACTGGGAGGATACTGACAAAAATGAAATAAAAACATCAAAGCATAAACTCAGAAAGTTAAAATTAATGATGATATAATAAACCTACAGGTCTTCTTCCCATGCTTCACTTTGCTCTTCGATTGGGTAACAGCAGCTGTAGCTACCCTGATTTCAATATGCAGCACTCCACAGAGTATTTCACTTGACTGAACTTTAAAGAGTAGCTCTTAAAATGTCATTTGTATCCTTAAGAGAGTAAGACACAATGTCTAGAGGGAAACAATAAAACACAAAAAACAAGCGACTACTTACAACTGCGATTTGTTTGTGTTGGGTCCCGAATTGGCCATACTAAGAACACCACGTCCCGTGTGGGACAAATTGGGCTTAAATTCATCTTTGAAAGGTTTTCCCCAGTAAGATTCTCCTCCTTAAAAGAAAAAAGATGATAGAAGAAATGTTTGTTTTCATTAGTTTCCCACTACGTTTTGTAACAGGCATCGACATTAAATTCAAGACTTCTGGCACTTCTGATCACTACGTGTATAATATATTCTTACCTCACCCCTATCACTAGGCTAGTGTTTGAGCATGCCCTTGAAATCAGGAGTTTGTAACTGGCAATGCAATTCTGTGCCCACACACTACCAACTGCAACAGACCAGACTGTTTATCAACAGCATTATATATTGTGTGCTAAAGAACTGTCAAGGATTTAATTGTTTACTGCTGGCCCACCATAATTTTTCTTTTTCGAGACATTAAATCTTTAAAAGTGGCTTCCTCACAAAACATAGAGCAAAGAATTACTAATTTAATCACACTCTGGATATTGCACTGCTTCCGGAAATAAAGTATCAGGGAGATGAAATACCTTCATAGAGTCAACTAAGAATAGGACCTATAAGCTCAAATGCTTAATTCCTGGCTAAACAGTGAAGAATGACAATATATATTGTCCAAAATAAAAGAAAAAAATTAGATATTTGGACTAGGTACCTGGATGATGTAAACACTTAAATGCAATGACATCAACAGGATGATAAAACTTTACACAAGCCGCAGACCCAGCCTTCCAAAACCGATTTCTTTTTCCTGTGTCTGTGAATAGGAAGAGGGCCTGGGAGACCTCTCCTCCTTGCCGTCATTCTTATATTATTTATGACAGATCTGACATTTTCATTTGTGCTTTCCTCCAGGATCATTCTTAGTAAGAATAACGAAGGCTGAGATGAGTCATAGTTTTACAGTGAAATCCACAATCTTGTTTGACAAACCATGAAAAAAATATTTCACCTTAGGATAGTATTAAAAATAAAACAAACAAAACTATCCAAATAGGCAGCAAGACCCATCCATCTGCAGAATTGGCTCAAGGACCCTCTAGAGTAACTGCATCACTTGTGAAGCAGGAGGAGGATCTGCAGGGCTCAACGGCTATTTGCACATGTAATACAGAAAAGCAATTTGATGATATAACTGCACTGGCAAGCAGCAAATACAACTGAGGAACAAAACAGGCTCCTATTGAAAAACTTACGCAGAAAATCACAAGAGTGCATCGAATGAGAAAAGAATTTCAGATGATACCACAAAAGCAAAGCATCACACGTGGACAGCTGCAAGTGCAAGTGGAACTAAGCAAGAAAGAAATTTTGGAAGAAACTGACCCACTTAAAAACCCAATTAATCATGTTCAAAAGACTTTATTAATAGAGTGGAGTGTTGCCTGCTCTGCAATTTGACAAGAGGCAGCAAAAGGGGACAAACCTTGCAGGGATTTTCTGTAATCAGGAATACAGGAGGAGTGATTACTTCAGCAATCTTTGGCTATTGAATATTTTAAGATCAGCTAAATTACACCAGCTTGATCTCATGTCCAGTCTCTTCCAGCAGTGGGTAAAAGGGATATGGTACAGCTGTGGCCAGCTCTACTGTCTTGAAGATGGATCCAAGACCCAGCTGTTCTAGCCAAATCCAAAGCGTTCAACCTATTAGAAAATGTCTTACCAGAAGCCAGTAATTTTCTTTGCTAATGAATCTCCTTGTGCATTCCTGTTTGCAAGAGAGGTTACTTGTGCAGTGCCTGCTGTCTACCTCGTTCAGGAAAGCAAAGTTCTTGTAGCTTAGTAAATAAACAAGTTACGCTCAGAATGTAGCAAGGCTCCCCGCCAACAAGCACTGCCCCAAACCAGAAACACCCCAAAGCCTGCAGAGCCACTGCCCATCAACAGCACTATGCCCTGGGCACCGTTCCTCTTCCCCCCTTCACCTTTCGGAGTTTTCACCCTTCACTTCGGGCTGGCCTGGCGGGGCAGCGCTGGGGACGGGCTCCCTGCCCGCGCCACCGCGCCCGGCGCTGCCACTGCTCCAGGCTCCGCGTTTCTGCTCTGGGTCACGGCCAGAGCTTTTTGCACCCCAGGAACAAACCTCACCTGGACTTCCCTTAGAGAAATACAAAATTTTGCTTCAAAAGGTCTCTTGAAGGAGCTCTTATTTGTAAGTAATTATTTGTAAAGCAGATGCACTTGCGACGAGTCCTAACCTAGAGGAATTTTAGCCGTCTGAAATTTTCAGATGTTACGCAAACAGGAACACAGCCCATTGAGATGTTACCCAGCAGCAAGTGGCCAAACCCTTGAGTTCCTTACACCCTTCATACGCTTCCAGCTGATGCTGGAATTACAGCGTTGTCAAGCAGCTGAAAGCAAGTGGAATCAACCCCGAAGCCTTCGCTGGTCAGAAAAATAATTCAAAAGGAAAGAGAAAAATTGTGAATGACAGAGAGACTCTCTCTTTCTGGCACAACAAGCAACCAGACCCAAGAGCTTGCAGACAGGAGCAATGAGCCATGACCTTTGGGTTTTGGAACACTTATTTTTGTATGATTTCATTTCAGATCACACACCGCAGGTCAGAACTAATCTCGTATGTACGAAGGCTAACTTTGGTTCTCTGGAACTAATTGCTAATATTTCAGTAGATAGTTACAGCATGAGATCCAGCCCCTGCTTCCCTCTCTGTCTGCCATACAGCTGTTTCCAAGGCTAATTCTGGCTGCCTGGGAGCTGCAGCAAGAGCAGAGAATGGCCTGTGCAGCATTCACCTAAAAGCCAGACGTCCTATAAAGGACACAGCTGAAGTGTCTGTGGAGGCATGGACTGGCAAGGGATGGTGGAGACAAAGGCAGTCAGACAGCAGTACAGGGGTTTTTTGTTGTTTTGTTTTTTTTTTTTTTTTTTTTAAAGAAAAATAAATTAAAAACTTGTTTGTGGTTAAAGAGAATAGTTGTTTTTTTTTTTTAAAAGGAAAAAACCCAAAAGTAGTCTCCTTAAATTAGAAATAGCCTGAATGTGCTGTTTGTCAAAGTCCTGCTAACCTCTGGGATTGTTCCACGCTTCAATTATCTGCTTGAAGCAGGACCAGACAGAGCAAGCCAGAAAATGGTGAGTTAAATGTATATATTTTTTTAATTACTGAAACCCAGAACCATTTCCTCTCTGAAGATCAAGTACAGATCCCTCATTAGTTTACTGCCATGGCGGCGCAGTGCCCAATGCTCAGCCAGGGGTCTGGAACAGGGATTTTCCATTCGTACATTTTACTCTCTACGGCAGAGCTCAACGTAAACTTCAAATAAGCCACAGGCTCCAAACCTACTACTACTAATTATGAGGCATTTGGAAAGTATCTAGCAGATGTTACTGTATTTACTCGTGACACAGTTGGGAGGTGTGTCTGTGCCATCTTCCTCATTTTCTGAAAGCAGGATGGCTGCCGACAGAGGAGGTGGGACCATCGCACTCTCTAGCTCTAGCTCTCGTGTTACGCTCACGGTAATCCATAAAGAGAGGAGGCTCCTCCTTATATTCCCCAATCTTCCTCAGAGAGCACACAGATCACTGCTGACTATATATGGAGTCACGATGATGCAAAAACCTCACCCCAATGCTGATGTACGAGCCTACAAGCAAAGCCCACGGAAAACAAGAATTGACTCTGGGTGTTGGACTCGCAGCGGCAGCGCTGCCTGTCACTTCCCCTTCCTCTCAGTTTACTCCCTGATTAAGATTATTGTCTGTCCAAGTGGAGCTGGGTGCCTATTGGACTTGCAAATGTTTCTGAGATCCTGTTACCAAAGCTGCTGGAAAAAAATTCTGGGGACTTCTGTGCAAAAAATCAGAGGAGTTCACACGGCAGCAGACACGGCCCCAGGCGGGTACCGCCGCTGGCCGGACTGGTGCTGGGCGCGAAGCGGAGCGGGACTTACAACCCCGCACATGGGGGGTCTCCTGTTTGCACAAAGCTGGAAATGCACTCGGGATCGGCCACGGAAGTACGCTGGCCTTCCAACAGCGCTTAACCTGTACAACGTCAAAGCCTTCAGGAGCCAGAAAGGGTTTCTGCACAATTCTGCAAGGTAAAAATCACAGGCCTACGCAGATACTCAGGATTCAAAGCTGAATGCAGCTGGGAGCCACTTCCCCACCTTTTTAATAAAAGAGAAAAATTCCTTAAATTAAAGAGGTGTTTACCTAATTCTCACACAGAGATGAAACCAAGCAGATCACACAGCTCACAGAAAAAATGATGACTGTAATAATCATTTCCATGGCTATCCAGAGTGGCAAGATATATTTAGATTGTAACTGAAGCTTAGTTATTCAATCTTGTATCTGCATCTTGCGCTGATAGTGAAAAGGTGCACAGCTCTAAATGGACATCTGAGGCAATCACACATTAGCAACCATACAGAAAACAGCCACGTTTTCAGATTGTCTTTCGAACTGAAACGGCTTACTCTTTGGTAGTCTTTCTTCCTTCTAAAGGCATTTTTTCAGAAAGTAATTTTTTGGGGTAAAATTGCATAAGTTGTACAACTATATTTGCAAAGAGCTGAGAGATGCACTTAGAGCTTCAGAAATGGAGCATTCCAAAAGCCAGGTGTGGGCTGGGAATCATCATTCATGACAGTTGCGATTTTAAATAAATCCTTCCTTTTTCTGGCATAAAAATTGCTAAGCAGTGGTAAGGAAGTGGGAGGGCTCTGATTCACAAAAATGATGGCTTACTTTCTGTAATTTTCAGCTTGTCATTTGGAACAACGAGGTACATAATAACATCTGACACCTCTACAGAGCTTTCCAAGTGAGATTCTTGAATCATTTTGCAAATATGAAAGCCTTAGCTCAGCCAGTAAATGCTTCTCTCCCTTCAGGTAAGAGGACACGGTACTTTTAACCCCACGTACCAGAGGCTGGATTTTCAGATGGGCTGCCATCTAAAAGAGTATATTGCTAGATAAAAAGGTCTTGCTCTTGTCCTTTTGCTGAGCTTCAATCATGCAAGAAAAGGGGCTTTAAAACCGGTTACATTTTAGGAACTTGCCTTATTAGGAAATCACATTGCAGAAGTGACCAAGTTTGTCCACAGTCCCTTTGCTATTGACGGGGGGGGGGCCGCCCCCTTTGTGTTGTGGGGGGGGGGGGGGGGTGTGTGTGTGTGTGTGTGTCCTCCACTCTGCTCGTTGCCACCCAAAACACAATTCCATCTACCAGTGGTATTTTATCTTGGCCTTTTACAGCTATTACATGCCTCCTTTGTGCCCTCCTGGATTCATAAATGGACAAAGGCAAACACACACATCGATTCATGAGACCTTCCAACAGGCTGCAAGTAAGAGTAGCTGAAAACTGCCTGGGCTGCTTTGAAAATGTAGTGATTTGCATATCGTTTTCCCTTTTTCATACAGAGGGCTTAAGATATTAAACCTATTTTTCCTACATGCAAATTTTCTTCTATTATTTGGAACACTGAATATAGAAAGCAGCTGCTCCACTTGCGCTAGCATGGGTTAGACAGAATTACTCACAATGTTCAACCACTTAGTTGTTATGAACAGCAGGAAAAGAGATATATCACAAATCTAAAATTCATTTTCAAATAATTAATCATTACAAAGAATGACCATGACTCAGCTTACTGCTCTGAATACCGCCTCTACGGGTGGTTATTTTGTTAGAAAAGAAATAAGCTGCTGCAGCACACTTCTCCCAGTAGTCTTATGAAACATTAAGTTGAAGGCTGTAGAAAATGAGTTGGGTCCTCTAAATCAGTGTCAGCCTTACAGGAGTGTGTATCTAACTGTTTTGGCAATGCAGCTCTGCCAGATAAGCTAAGGTAAAACTATTCCTCACTCTTTTCCCAGTATGGTATCTCAACTTCTAGATGCCGTAATGCTAATTTTCACCCTCCTCCATCCCAAAGTTAACAGCTAAGTACGAGGAACCAGTTGTCCTTCACATGTCTGCTGGGTCACAGTTACTTTTACGACAGCCTAACAAGAGACTCAAAAAGGACACCTTTGGGGTGCTGAATAACAAATAAAAAAGAAATAAGGATCAGAGCTGCTTACAGATGGACTGTTCAGCTGGAGTAGCCATGGAAGCGGACAGTCGGTGACAACCAGCGTGGCATTTTACATCTGTGAAACGTTTCCAAAACACAAGCACACCTACCTAGGTGAGCGAGAGCACAGTTGCAGTCTATGTACATATGATGTGTAACCTTACATCATGTTGTACTGAATGTGCCCAAATCCAACCAGAAGCCGAACAGTCCTGGGCTTAGTTAGCAATGGAGTGGGTGACCATCTAAGCATTTGGGAGCTGCAACCATAAACCTGACACCTGTTGCTGAACATGGGATGAATGTCAGATGACAGAAACCAAATGGTGGGAAGATTTTTGAACAAGGCTGTTCTAGTTCCTGAGCTGATGAACAGGAATGATTAAATAAATAGAACACGACAAAAATATATACAGGCTTAATGCACATTCTCCATATCAGTTTGGAAAAGGTGGTTGTTTTATTTAAACAATCAAACAAACAACTATCCCAAACCTCTTAGCCAGAAAATTTCAGTCAAAGCAGAAGGCTCTATGTGGAAGAGGAAACGAAGGATGTTCTTTTTTTCCTGAAGTCTTTCTACAAAAGGCTCTAACAGAAACAATTCTGGCCATTTAAAATATTGATGTTTAAAGGGTAACCTCCAAATAGTCTTCCCTATTGCCAATTGAAACATATGTGAAGAAAGCCCTGTTCTACTCTCATATTACAGAAGTCAGGTTATTTACTCCCCCAGTAAACCTCTAAAGACCGTTAAATCTTATGGACTTTCTAGCTTTCAAAGATGCATCTTTTAATTTTTTTTTTTTCTAAAAGCAGTGTGGCAAAGAAATACTGACATTCCTTCCAGCTGCCAGAAGAAATAAAAAAGGGAATTTAGACTGCAAATAAGTCTATTTTAATAGACTCTATTCTAATACGAGACCCAGGTAAAAAAAGGTACAAAGTACTGAATCCCAGTGCTTTACTCCAAAGCTTTCCTAACATGAATGCTTGTGATCACTTTTACAAACTTTTACACCACAAGTGCCTGGGAAAGCATCTCTACATTTGCCATGTTCTTACACTGCTGCTGAGCTGTACCCTCTGGCCACACTGCTGCGGAGAGAACGTAAAGCCAGACAGGCACCTTACGTCTGGGCACCTTCTTACAGCAAGTGAAATTCCTGCCTCCCATTCAAGTGCCCAGGACCTATTAGGTAGTCAGAAACAAACCCTGACAGACTACTTGCACTCTGTGGACTGTCTTAAGCAGCTTCATTTAAGCAAGTATTAAATACTCTGGCATGACAGTTCAAGAGAAATCTAGTAGCCCACCAGCCTGTCCATATACAACATTTTCTTGTGATATTATCATATACAATAAGTGATTAAGTAAGGATAAGTAAGCTGTCTTCAAAAAATAAAAAACATTAAGTTGCAAAGAAGGTAGTTGCATCATTTGGGCTCTACAATAATTCCAAACAGTCTCTAAAAATCTGCAATACTCATATCTATTTGAGTGTACACTGTCCATTTTATTAGAACTTTAATAGTCTTGACAGATGTTTGCAAGACATCTTGCCTGCAATATATTAATATTTAATTAAGAATGACAAGGAGGAATAGAGGTCATTAGATTCTTTTTTTTAAATAAAAGAATATACATAAGGCGTTTTTTTCTCCTATGGGCTTATTTTGCATTTTACTTCCTACTTGCTTTGCCAGTAGAGCTGAGTCTTGACCTTCAATGCAGCTGCACTGCCAGTCCTCTGCCAACTGTTAATTGTGCTGTCTTACAATACTTCTACCGTTTGCACAGCGACAAGAATGACACCAGCAAGTTAATTTTCATTCCACAGCAGGATCTGAACTCCACCCTACAAGGGTGAAAGGTGTCTCAGTCAACCCATTAAATTTCTCCTGTCTCTTGACACCTCTTTAATTTCTCATTTTAAAAGATGTTCCTAATTATGTCTTTTGGGATTTGAACTGAAACTTTCCTTACAACAAAATCAAATCACATTTCTTTTGACAGTCCAAGCATATACCGTAACAAATCTTGTTAATGGGCTTTTCCCATCAAAACACAGATCCTTTAACTAGTCTCAAATTTTAGAGTATGCAACTTCTAATTATCGCATGCAGTAGAAGAAAAGCTGTTGGGCACTCACACTAACATTATTTACAAAGTAAATAGAGATGAAGTATTTAACGACTACAAAGACACCTTTTTTGGATAACCTGTGAGCACACACAGAAGAATATAGTGCTTGCATATACAAGTGACACATGTATGAACTAGAATAAAAATGCGGAGAACCCCACAGGACCAGGTGAGGAAGAGCTGTGGAGGCTGGTGACATCTACAAGTGGGTAGATAAAAGGTGCAAGGGGAAAATGAGCAAATTCACAGCAGCAACTAGAGATATTACATGACATATATACTGTAGTGGGTGATGCTGTGAGGACCCTTCAGCTGCTACGTCTCCTGACCATTTCTGATAGGACTATTATGCAGATCTCCAACTAAGGGAGAAAGGCAGAAGAATTTAGTAACAGTGATCCCTAAAAGTTAGAAAAAGAGCAGTTTGGGCTTTACAAGGCAACTAGCTGGGAGAACAGATGGTACCTGGCCACTCACTAATTCTGAGGTAGGTCTCAAGTATTTCATTAACGCTGAATTTGAAAGCAACTTTGCATGAATGTGTTTCTTGCTTTGTTCTTTGCCCTGGAAGGCTAGCTGTAAAAGCATTATAATTTTTATTTATCTTCTGGAAGAAAAAGGAAGTAAAGATCCAACAGGAATTCTACATGGAAGAGTGCCCAAGTTTTAGATTGAGAAGATCAGATGAAATTTTGAGCATAGTTAAAATGGTCATAAAAATATAGCAATAAAATCTCTGCTTTAAAGCAGAAATACTCACAATGTAACACATATCATCATTTAGAGAATTTTAATCTACAAGGTGTCTGGAAATAAATGTAACAATACAGTGCATGAAGTGGAGACAGTTTACTTGATTCAAACTCAGCCTTACCGGTTCCTGTTCCAGTCGGATCACCTCCTTGGATCTGCAGAATTTAAATAAAATCAATAGGTTACATATATATCTGTGTGAAAGACATTAAATACAAGCCATAAAAGCCAATTCTGCTCCATTTTCTTCCTTCTATATTGCGTCAGGTTGACAAGTTAGCAACAAGGAAACCATTACTACTTATTTGGACCTTCTTTTATCAGCTGGCTGTCACCTCCTACATTACTTATCCAAGAGCAGAACGACAGTTTTATAAAAATAATAAGTCTCTTGTGGGTAAATAGGGAAAATAAACTGTCTCAAATGAGTTAACCAGATCATCCTTCCTATTATGTGCTGGGTCGTAACCTGCTTTTTAACTGATGATGCCTTACTTTTGGAAATGAAAAGGCTTTACATTTTGCTACCAATTCTCCACATGATGGGAAGGCAAGAAACAAGGCAATATGGAATATTTTCTGTATCTGAATCTGTATTTCCCAGTATCCCCCTCACTACCTGCAGTAGGACAAATCCCCTTGTGAAACCAATGTTTCAGCAACAGAATTAATGACTGTGTATATATATATGTAGGATCTACAGAAATAATATTCTATATTCTAATGCCAGTAGAGGTAGTGTGCCATGACTAGCTTCACAGTTACAGCACACAATTTTAACTGAATTTAACTATGAACGGAGACATACAGTGCTGTCAAAAGAAAAAACGTTTTTTTAGGATGAGAGGATGGAATGTACCATTCAGTGATGTCCCCTGAAAAACGTGCACTGCCTTCAGAATCAGGTTATTAATTCTTCTGAATGGAAGTTAGAGGATAGCTACAATATCCTAAGCTACCTGGACTGTACCTATGTAAATAAAGATTTTTGACTACCAAAGTCAACTTTCTGGTTCACTAGGTGCTCTTTAACTCCTTCACAAAGAAAGCCTGGGCTTAGTCCTGGAGCACACTCAGGAAAGGATGATCTGACAGTATCCAACTACCACAACCTGAACCAGAAATTCAGCTGCTTTCTAAAGTTTCATCTGAATGGGATTTCAACAGGCCACATTATTACTTATCCAAATTAGCATCCCCCCCCCCTCCTTCTGTTCATTAACCACCCACTCGCAGCTTACAGAAGGTAACAAGAGCCTTGCCAAGGCTCTTAAAGCCTTTGTCTGGAATGCCAGCAAAAGCACTACTAAATGCAGTGATGTTCCAATATTAGTCAAAGACAGTTGTTAGTAAGACTAGTAAACACAAATTTTTTAAGTTAGGACAATCCTAGTTCTGATGGTATATTTAATATACATCTACTGCAAGTTGTCATGCGTGGAGGAAACTAAAACTGAATTAAGCTAAATAAGTATTTTGAGGACATCACATATTGAGTATTACACAGGATTTGTCCAAGACTCACCACAAAATTACGAATTGATCTGTGAAAAATTGTTCCGTCGTAGTAGTTCTTCTTGCACAATTTGATAAAATTTTCACATGTTCGTGGTGTCTGAAAGACAAACGGAAGTTTTAATTAAGCAATACCTTTAGACAATCAAATTGGTCACTACACTATTTACAAGAATCGCTTTTCATTTGTGCCTTCCAAAGAAACAATCGTGCAGGACTCCTTCAAGAGGAATGAGTCCCTGTCTACAGAAAAAATGATATAATATATACTCTTTTAAAGTATACTGGAGACACACACACTGTTAAATAAAGTAATCCCAGACCTTCCAGTTAGCACAAAGTGCTGAACACTAGCTCAATAGCGTGAGCTCCCAGTAGACATAATGATGGCGAGAGCAGATAAGCTCAGAGACTGTCAAGTAAGAAGACTAAGACTAAGACTACCAGGGAAGATTATGGAGCGATTGGTCTT